TATTTATAAGTGACAGACTTAAGAACGATAATCCAAGCAGCTGCCGTGCAGAAGAATTTCACGTCAGTGCCCAACCGCTAACCTGCCATCACAATAAGATCCCAGAGGAAGAGCTTATTGGGTCATGAGCAGCCGTGCGGAGACAAAGCTGGACCCGTTTTTTTTTTTCTTTTTTTAAACTCAGTGCCTCCAACAAGAATACGACTGCAGCGCCATCTATTGTTCAAAAAAGCACACTGCTATCAGATATAAAAAATTAAAAATTGCTTTGAAGCTGTAATAGGACAGGAAACATAAAATGGCACAAAAGAACAAGAAACTACTTATAAATAAACTTTGTGTATTTTGAATACTATTTTATATCCAGTTCAATGAGAAAAAAAGAAGCAGAAAACAAGCATTGCCGTTAGAGGGTTAGAGCTGAATGCTGAATGGCACACGGCAGACGGAGAGGTTCTGTTACTGAGAATCAAAGGCAGCAGGCGCCATCGCAGGGCCTCCCCCCGCTATTCAGGCTTGTGCCGCTCAAGGGCCATTACCGCGCCTGCCGAGGACAATCCACGGCTCACTTCATCTGAATGAAGCCATTGAGGCCTCCACTTAGAGCGACGGCGGCACCGCGGGGAGCTGGGCGGCTCGGGCCTGCAGCATGACACTGAGGGACACTTAAACCTGCCCCAGGGTCTTCGCCAAGAGACGACCGCTTAATTACAAGCCGCCATTCCCAAATTAAAAATAAAAAAAAACAGCATCTCACAATAAAAAAAACTCAATCAAACTTAAAAGGTCGGCGCGGCTATTATTTAAAAGATAAAAAGCTTTTGAACTCTCCATCGACGACTCCCACGCATGCACAACCTCTGAGCTCCGGGCATTTAGAGCAGAAGTATGTGAAAACAGAACAAATACGTTAGCGTGAGGGAGCATTTCAAGGATTGCGGGAAACGGACGCGTTTCGACAAGAGGAAGCCGGAAGATAATGCGGGGAAAACGTTGAGGCCAGGATTGCGACTGACGCAGGAAAATGGCTGGGAAAACAGGTCCGTCGTTTTGGGTGCGTAACTCTCAGCTGCCTTCCAACGAGATGGGAATGTGCACTGGAATGTAATTTTTCACTCTAACAGATCGTTCAGTAGGTCCCCTGTCAACATTAATCACAGGCTATATTATGCGCTCTCGGTAGGGGAACTCGCCACGCGAGGGCAGAGGCTCGATTCCAGGGGAGCAGCCTGCTCTTCGCTTGGCTCCTGCCCCTTCGTACGGAGGAACCAGTGGCCATTACTCATAGGCTTCTGTGGGCTTTTCTGACACGTGGGTCTCCTCATGCCTGCCTACGCGCCCCACCGCCAGCTACAGAAGGGGTCTGACGCCAGCATTCCCAAATCCCAGGCTCTGCGTGGGACGCCCGCCCCATCCTGACCTCACCATGGCGCAGAAAATTCTACGCGCTAAGCACTCTCTGCACCCAAAAACTCACACGTCACACCCGAATGTTCAGAGGCGGTTGACACCCCCAAAAAAAACACTGCCGTCCGCAGGTTCTGAAAAGCGGCTGCAACCAACAATCGATCGTTTCGGACAATTACTGCCCACAGGAAATTAAATGATCACTTTCAATTCCAAATAAATCGGGGGGAGAATCCTCAATGACTGTTGAATTCTAGTCTTTCTGGCATCCAAGTCCATCAATTGTAAACTAGGTAAACAAAGCTGTCAAATGAAGGCCCCACAACTTGGGCCAGACACAGCAAAGGCGCTTTTTATTCCACTCATGGATCTGGACTGTGCTTAAACAGGAGGGTGTTACCTTTCACCGGCAGGCTGGAATAACTTTAGAGCCGTAATTTTAAAAAGTTAACCACGTTAACGATCTCCTAAAATACACAACACACTCTGTTACCGTGGCAATAAAACGACAGGACACCACCTCGCATCTGATTGGTTCCCCTTCCAACAAAGACGTCAAGCTGTTAGTGCCAGGCTGACATTCCTTCCCGAATGCGTAGCACTAGAGTGGCATCTATGGATAACATGGGAAACAGCAGCTTCTTCAAAGAGAAGGACATTTTTTTTAAAAGCAGCACAAATAAAAGAAATAAAAAGAGAGATTATGATCAGAGATGGGTGATTGCTTAGTACTGCTTTTTCAGTCTGGAAAACACACTAGATTGGGCTTCTACCTTAATTTGAGGCACATTAGTAAGGTCAGGATCAATTAACAACAAACAAAAAAAAAAAATCAAGAATTCAATAGGGTCGTTATTTGCCATTTGCCCCTCTGTAAGTACATTATAACCAAGAGTCGCATTAGACCAACAGCAAGCAGTAATAAAAGGACAAAAGTAATCAATGACAGAAACCCCAGAGAGGATACTGCAGATGGCCCTTCAAGCTGGATGTCTGGTCTGAATCTAGATTGCAATTACTCTGGTGTACAGCCTGCTGTATCACGGAGTACTTTAAGTAAGGTACTACAGGAAAGTCAATTACCAGTGCGATTAAACACCTCAGCTAATCCAGCCGGTACGTAAATACAACACTTTGATAATCTCTCCCCCACGCCAACGACACTAAGTGACACAAGGTATACCCACATATGGCCGCAACGCTGACAAAAAAAAATACTCTGTTCTTATGCATGTAAAAAGTAATGAAATCCACTACTCAAGGGATACGTAGTCCAGCCAGCAATGTTAATAAAAAGATTCCATTACACCATGTGACAGAATCAAGCCCGGTGAGCATTTGTGATTGTTAATGGTGCTAAAAGCTCCCTCGAGGAGCAAGGCCTGGAAATTCACATGGAGAGCCCCAGTAACAGAGAGCGAAGGCTCTCAGCCTCACAGTGGGCTACGCCTGAAAAGCAGGCCATCTCAGAGCTCGGCGGCATCCTTCACAGGGAGCTGCACGCTCTCCGCGTCGACGGCAGCTCCGTCCGGAACGCTGGCCTCACGAGCCACTCCAGAGTCTGGCAGCTGAAGGACACCTGTCCTATTGAAAGGCAGTCACTGCATGTGTCGGTGTGCGTGGAATGAGAGGATTAGAAAGGCTTCAAGATGCTTTTGGGGGAAAAAAAACCCTGGAAGTCTGAGTCTTGGAGGTTTTTATCTCAGAAATCCTCAGCAGAGCAAACTTGTATATAGATAAAATATATATGTGTGTGTCTGTATATATGTAAAAATGACTCGAGGCGATATAGTTCCACACACGGCTCAGCGGAGGCTGAATGTTTTAAGGCAGCACATGAGTATAGAAAGAGACAGAAAGTAAACTGCAGATGTCTGAATCTGAAACACAATATCTTCATGACCGTAAATAACCACTGACATTTAAAAACTGAAAGCGAAGCATTATTTGTCTAGGTCATTTAGCATAGACTTTGAGGCAATACAAGTATTTAGTAAGATGACTGACTCTGCAAGACACACCATAGCCTGACCGCTGGTCATTTAAACATACTATCCCTCTACAACAAATCATTAAAAGCTTAGCTGCTACAGTTTTTCAAAGGGGAAGAAGAGATGATATGCTATGATAATATGCTGATATGTTAATGCAACATTTGTTCCGGTCACGATGTTCCTCATTTCGGCGCTGGGTGCACGTCCTGCCACCAGGTGGCAGCATGAATTCTCCAAACAAAAGGTCCCATTTTATTCAAACTTCAATCTGTCTCAAGAATTCTAATGCAATGTAAGAAATCAGACAGAGGTGATCTCTGTCAATGCTGACATTCGACAATGAGCATGTGGACAGGTTTGGAGAAAATACACTGTTGGGTTGATTTTGGGGGCAGGGGCACCATCATTTCAGGCCATCTGAAAATTAAAGTTACTAAAATACCGCACATGACTCCCCCCCCCAAACCCCCCAGACCTGATTGTGGTGTCAGGACGCAACCTGTCGAGTCGACACAGCACACGTGTCACCTTGGGGAACAAGTTTATTGTGTTTGGTGATGTTACAGTGACGGTTCACCTTCGCTGAACTACAAAAGGTTCGATGAAATCTCTTCGTTACAAACTGACAAAGGTAAAACAGAGTTCACAACAGCATGTACCACATAACTGGAAATGGATCTGGGTTTCATATAAATGACATAATTCCTAATCATCTACAGCTAGTTTTTTTTTTTGTTGTTTTTTTTCCTTTTCTCCTTAACTTCATACAGATAATGGATTAGGCTAAAATGCACCATAATATTTGGTTGACTTTAGGAACAGTTTCCCTTATTACATCACAAAATACATTTTTATATCCCAAAAGAAGCAAGACTTGCAAGTAGGCATTTAAACATAACTAAATCTACAGCTACAAAATTCTACTCGAGTAGCATTTACCTGCGAGGCTCCCGTCTCAGTCTTCATGAGGTAAAAGCACAGAGCAGAACCAGTATAACATGTACACAGAAGTCCGTATTGTAAAGGCTATAAAGATTTGCTGCACGCGGTGAAGTCGCCTCCAGGCTCTTCACGCGAGGGGCCGGCTGTTGGCGGGGCCCCTGGGGGCCTATGTGGCGTATCGTTTGGTCCACTGCCGAGCTATCCTGTCATGCTCCGCTCTGTTGGTCAGGTACTGTGTGGCTATGCTACCCACCAGGGGGTCCGCTGGAGAGGGCGGGGGAGGGAGGGGGGGACAATAACGAACGTGAGTGTGTCAGAGGTCCTCAAACCATCAAATTCAAGATCTCTAATCCAGTGGGAGCTAATTCCCTGGGAGCTGGGAGGGAGCAGAACCGTGGACCGACTGGGGGTTCTTGTGGACTGGTCTGAGGAACCTGCTCTAGTCAACCCATCACTTTAATTCCATAATGACCCAAGGAATCCAGCTGTATTTGGTACTTAACTGTCGGCCGTTACTTCAAGACAGACATTAAAGATATGGATACTCGATAGGCAGACTCCGGGCCACATCTGGACCGAAATACGGCCAGGAATAAAAATATTCTCTGCAGCCTCATTCTGAACAGCCCCCCCACCCACCACCACCATTTGGTAAATTTTATGGGTGGCAGTGGCTGACAGAATTTGGCCATCCAGGGAAAAATAATTGGGAAGCCGTGCATTAATAGGATGCTGACGGAGCCATGAATGTTTTCATACATTTCTGATCTAAAACATTCAGCTGCACCACGAGCCCCCATATCTATGCTTCTTTTGGCCGTCTGTACGAGCCGTTCACTCAAGGTAACACTGGCTTCTTTCGGCAAAAGCAAAGCAGTCTCCGGCAGCCCGAGTCCAAAGAGAATCACGACTGCATCTACTTGTCCTGTGCACACATACATTTAAATCTGCATTCAAAAACATCCTGCTTTCCCCCCTGACCGAGTCGTGCCGACCTTAACGCCCGCATTGGGCTTCCCGAATTAATAGCGAGCATGAATACAGAAATGCTGCAAAGGTAAATACAAGAGGAGCGTAATCCAGAGGACATCTGAGAGCCAGCCATTAGGCAGACAAGCATTTCCTGTTATGTACTTGGGAAGGCCCATTAGCTTGGTTAAAGCACTGCTGCTCTTCCTCCATCTCTAATCACGTCCCCAATAAACTCTGCCAGTTATTGGCTGCTATCCGTTACCACTCAAGGTGATTGATAAGTGCAAGTCCCCACCCACTTACCAGGATTGCAGTCTGTCAGGAGGGAACAGATGGACAGCAGGACCTTGGAGATGGTGAGGGCGGGGCTCCAATTGTCCTTCAGGATGTCCAGGCAGATGACGCCCTGACTGTTGATGTTGCAGTGATAGATCCTGGTGCGGAACGTGACCTGCGGGCGAAATGTGTCACTGGGGATGGACTCACCAGCCTCAGAAAGCCAGCGGAAGGCTGTGTCCACTAACCACACTGCACCACAAACACGCCCCTACTCACGCACACCCGCACAAAGGGCACTATTCCTCACACGCTTACAAAATTTGTACCTGTCCAAATCGCTTGTTTATGTTCAAACATGTAAAGTATTTAAAAATTATTCCTTTAGCCCTGGAACAAAAACAGAGCTGGCAGTAAAAATGGGGACTTGGAGACATCGGAGTCGCTAATAACTCCCCAGTTTATCATTGCACAGAAGAGTCAATAACAGGCTGGGGGGGGGGGCGGCAAGACAACACGCCCCGCTATCTTCTCCCTAGGCCGACGCAGCCATTGTGCAGCCCCGAGGACACAATTAGCATAGCGAACAAAACACAGCTTTGCGCCACGGGGGACAACAACAGCGGGGTCAGAGGTCATCGAGGTCAGGGAGCAGATAGCGCACGGGAACAGACACCAACGCTGTGAGCACGCAGGCCTTTGTGTCCCTGAGGCCGGACAGCAAACAGCTCAGCTTTGATGGTCATGTGACGCGGCGGGCGTGGGGAGGCGCGTACAATGGTGTAATTATACTGAAAGCATGAGCATGCAGAGCCAGGGCTAGATGGGTTGGGTCAGTACCCATCTGGCTCAGCTCGGGCTCTGCCCCCCCACCCTGCTTTTAGGCCCAGGCGTAACGGGAGGGGGCGCCCCTCCCCAACCCCCACAGCTCCGGGCCTCTGGACCACAGAAGCGGTCGCCCTGCCAATCCACAACAGCGTGGCATATCATAAAATGCAGCCGGAAGATTCCGGGTGTCGGCTGTCCTCCTCACGCCACACCTGCCGTTAAATGAGCAGGAAACCCCAAATATCATCTTCTGACATTTAATAATAATAATAAAAAAAGCCAAACAAAAACAGAGGGCAGCTTTTTCTTCATCAACTGAATAAACATATACTTTAAAGATGACACCGGCGGCATGGTGACGGGGGGGGGGGGGGGGGGGGGGGGGGGGGGGGGGGGGGCGTGCGTCTGTCCAGATGGAACAGGCCGCTGAGATTCTAATTAAGCGGGAACAACGCACCCGGCACTTCCCCTTAATGTCAGAGCCGTAAACACACCCCGGCATCGTTAACGGTCCCGGCTGCACATTCCACTAATTGCTTTCCTCTGCCGCTCGATTGGTTAAGCTGTCCATGCTAGAGCGCCGCTTAGGGGTGAGCACCGGCATTGCAGCGTGTGGCATCCATCAGGGGTGCCAGTGAATCTTGTTGGATTAAAGGGCTCATCTTTGACATGACACCGTAGAATTGTTCAGTTTAATCTGTCAATTTCTGTCATGTTTTCCCTCGCCCCAGCCGCTAGCAGCACAACCAAGGGGTTAGCGATGATTTTGGACTTTTCCCCTGAACGCTGCTCACTCAGATCCCAAGAGGATGCCTTCTGTTGTACCCTTGAATAATGTACTTAACATGAATCACCCCAGTGAAAACACCCGGCTGGGAAAGCTGGCAAAAAAGCGACTCTGGATAAAAGGACCAGCTGGGAAGTATGCGGGGGTCGGACGAGCACAGGGAGATGGGGCGGGGGTGTCATACCTTTGGTGGTTTGAAGGGGTAGTCTGAAGAGAAGGTGATGTCCAGGAAGAAGACGCCACCCTCGTACACAGAGCCAGGGGGGCCCAGGATAGTGGACCTCCATTCGTAAATGTTGTCTCCTTTGGGCCCAGCGCTGCAGACACAGAAGCAGAAATCCCACACAAGCTCGTCACATGACCGCAGCCTACGGCATATGTATTGGGGCGGGTAGAGGCACTAGCTCCAGCTGAAAGCCGATTGGCGGCCGGAGTGCCCCCTCAGATAACTCATATCACTGGCTAATGATAAGATTGGCCCCTCTTATGCCCCCCCACCACAAACTATCCTAGAAATTGTCCCTGGCTGCAGCCCAGGGTGCCACTCCTCCACACTGCAGATGGCTGGGATCCCCATCCAGCAAACCTGCCCAGGGATCTCGCCAATTTCCCAGCAATAAAGCTATCATCAGCCGGCAAAGGGGAGTTTGGCCCAGCTGCTGCCTTGTCTGTACTTGGGGAAGGACAAACATCAACGGAGTCAAGATCTCGGAAAGACACGACCGGGGGAAGCTTTGGCTGGAGGAATGCCGAAACGGCGCGGAACGGGAAAGGCCTGGTGGATAAACGACTGAAATTGTAGCTCACCCCCAGGAAACACAACGTCTCAGACTACGCAAAGGTCATTTGGTCGTTCAGGACCCCCCCCCCACCCCCATCTTTCCCGAATGACTCCGATGTTGCCGAGGCGACCGCAGATTGCATTTTTCCGCCACCCGGTAGCCATAACAAACGGGGGGGGGGGGGGGGGGGGGGGGGGGGGGGGGGGGCTGGAGATCGCACAGGCTGCCGTGAGCTGGCGTCCGTCCGCCACGTCCGGATCATGGTAATCATCAGACACCGGAGGGGGCCCCCCTTCCAAAGCCAGCATCCACAGTAGATCTTCCTCCTGCAGACTCTAAGGCAGCCTTTTTAAATATGTGCATAAGAAAAACTCTGTCTTCCTTTCTAACGACAATTTGCTCATAGCTTCATTATGGGAAGGATAACAAAAATAAAAGGCCAAAAATGGGCGATAAAACTTGCAGAACTGCAGAATAATGGCTTTTGAAAGATCGCTCCTAGCCAACTGCAGAGTAGTGGTGGCTATTCTGCACATGGCAAAACTTTTATATGCCGTGAAATGCAATCGCTTCCCCAGCACAATACCCCCGCATCAGGGGCATCCTTTTCGTTGAAGCGCCGCCAGCAGCGCGACTATAAAGAGATTCACGAGTTTGTATATCCCGCCTTATCATGCCGTTCAGGTCTCGTTCAAAGACGGGTAGCTATATTCCGATAAACGCCTTCCGCACTAAATCATGTGTGGGAGACAAAGGAAAAAGTACTTCAAGCTCCAGGGAGATGACTTTGAGTCTTCCCTTCTACACGCATCGCGCCATAACGCCAGCAAGGACACTCAGGCCCAATCGCCTCTCGTCCCACAGAGCTTAATAAAGAACATAAGATGATGTATTTTAGAGGCATGGAATGCTACCTCGAGGTACACCAGAATTTTATAATATGTCCAAGGTTGAGACCTGGGGATTTCGGGGACCGGGCAGGACTGTCTTTAAATCACTGTTTTAAAAAGCTGAACTGATGGAAACTGTTAGAAATCTCTCGGCGCTGACTCTGGGGCTGGGCACCAGGGCAGGATGCAGAGCTCAGCATTTCTTTTGGAATAGGTATACGGAGCTTGCCGGGCATCTTGTCAAAAGGAAGGGAGCTCCCACCGGCCTCACTGATTGGGGGGGGGGGGTGTTTCTCAATTCAAACCCTCCCAGTTCTGCAGCTCCCACACATCCCCAGGCATACTCAGCCAATCGGTGACCCTCGGAGGCCACATGGAGCAACACTGCCTTCCTGAAAAGTGTCCCCACCAATAACGAAAACACCCCTTTCTTCCAACAAATGAGGCAACCAAGTCAAGGAAACAAAATGGCTTCCCATAAACACCATCAAAACGCTGCCCTCTTCCACATGCAATTACATCATTCCTTCTGATGAGCATACTGACTGGGTCTTTTTAAGATGCATATTTTTTGTTATCCCTGTAAAACGTTTCACTGAAATGGACGTAAGTAGAAACCAAATTCTGTCACATGGTGCTTCTTCCTGGCCTGGCACATAAATGTAACAGCAAAAGAGGTTATTTCATTTACTCTAGTATCACACACGAATTAATGAGCTTTCTTGCAGTGCAACATTCCTCATAGAGCAGCACGACATACTAACAAACAGCAGCTGAAATCCCAGAGCCCCGGGCCAGTAGGAGTGGGCTGAGCCATAGGATCACTGGTGTTTACAGTGAGTGTGCACATCGCGCACACGGCTGTGAGGTTTAAGTCACTGCTGTGCGTGTTGGGAATGTGCGTGCGTGTGTGCGTCAGCCAGAGAGGCCGACATCGCTGCTGTCAATACGTTGCCACAGCAGCTGACAGCCTCTGCCATACAGCCGCATCAAATTTCGCATACAAACACACCTCAATTCAGGAAAATTCTGCCTCACAGCTGCACAATTCTTCTGTTAAAATGGAGATAAACACACACCCGCAGTCCCTCGCGAGCTCTCAAGGCAAAGGACATAAAACATTCCCAGCGCTGCCTCACCAAGTACAAGTCGGACAAATTAAGCAGCTAAAAGCTAAGAATGATCATTTCCCAACCGACACAAACAGTACATAATAGCTATTTCTTATATACAGTGATCCTTTGAACAACAACAATGTCCGTTAATTACCCAGAAAAGTTTTTATATTCTCCTCCATCTCTCTTCTTGCTTTTCTTCCTCTGCTGGATGGCATCCAGACATTTGCGCTTAATCAAACAAAATAAAATTAGATCACAGTAGTGCAGCGGTCCACACTGGGAGCGTCTGCTTCTGGGAGCCATTTCTCCAGGAACAAAATTAAAAGGCTTGGGGGGCAACTGGGAACATACCAGAGGAAGGCTTAACTTTAATTCATTAATTCGCATATTTACTCATGCTAATCTCACCTTCCTTCGATGCTAATGCTAAGATGCTAAAGGGATCGCCCAACTTCAGCAGCATCGGCCACGGACTCAGGGCCTTTAGATTTCAGAGGCTGGACTCCATAGTTTGACATAGACCAGTGTTTTTGAACCCAGTACTTGGGGACCCCCAGACAGGCCACGTTTTTGCTCCCTCCCTGCACACCGAAACCAAACAATCGCTAACACCGAATACCAGGTACAAATGTGTTGGGAGCCAGGATGGAACAAAAATTTTGGAATGTCTGGTGGTCCATGGGAACTGGGGAAAGACCCTCAAGGAAAATTTTAAGGAAGCATCATTTACACGCTTGTCCCGTTATTACAGTTTGCAGCAGAAACAGGAACATGTGCAGCTGAAATTCCTCTCTGGCTCCTGCACGTGTAGGGATGGGCTACCTGCCATGTAATTAGCCAACACCTGGCCAGCTGTCCTCAGCTTCCGCCAGAGCTTGGGGGGGGGGGGTGTTGTTAGCACTAAACTGTGCTCTGAAATTACACAGAAAAAAGCTTTAGGCTCCAGAACCCTGACCGGGCCAAGATTTGACTTGGTCTTCGACACCCAGAAACCATGTTTGGCGTCACTGGCCGACCTAAACGAACTGAACGGTTAGGTGGACTCATCAGGACCGGACGAACTCACTGCCGTACACAAAAGGAGACTTCCAAGGAAGGGGGCCGTTACAGCTGCACTTCAATAAAAACCATTACCATTCCCCAGAAAACAAGCCATGGGAGACTTTTAAAGGAATAGAGGACCAGAATATATAATAAAATAAATAACCTGGAATAAATCACACTGAAAAGTAAGAGGTACGCAGCATTTGTACTATATTCTTCAGTGGAATATGAAGGACATAAAACTTTTGAGTGCTGTGAAATTCCTAGTATTAAAGACGGTTCAGAATCATATTTTCATAAAGTGGACAGAATTTATTTTAAAACACCTACAGTCGCTATGCACCTTCTTACATATTCCACTTAAAAAATAAGCCATATGTCAAACTAAAACGTGAAAAATGGGGGGGGGGTTGACCTTGGACCTCCAGAGGTTTTTTCTCTTCCATCCTTGGGAGTTTTTGGTTCCTCTCTTCCTTCCTCTGTTTTGTATTACTCTCCCTTAACGATGTTGTAATGTATCACAACACATCCACGTAAAGTGCCTTGGGGCAACTCTGTTGTGAAAGGCGCTATATAAAACATTGAAATGAATCGAAGTTGGGTTGAATATAAAAATGTTGAATTCAATTGAAAATGTTAGTTTTATTATTTCACATAATAATGTAACCATGATGGGTTGGTGCCCCATCCTGGGTTGTTCCTTGCCTTGCGCCTGTAGATAAGCAGTTACAGAAAATATATGGATGGAAGGATGGATGGATGGATGAAACCTCAATCTGCAATGCAAGGTTGGACCTCACTGAAGTAACAGTGCAGGCTGGAGATCCTTCAATCTCCCTGCCCCTTAAGCTGTAAATTAAAGACAAGGTGGAAACCATCATTACGGCATGCCTTGATAAATGAGTAAAAGCACAGATGTTTAAAACCCCCCTTTAATTGGATTCAGTCTTACTCGGCCCAAAAGAATCTATTATTCGTTATCAATGAATGCATTATCTATTATACATGACATTAGCGCGCGCTCTGAATTTACCGAATAAATCTTTGATTCGGGGAAAAGGAGCGCTCCGGAGTCCCCAAAGGCGCGCTCCGGAGTCCCCAAAGGCGCGCTCCGGAGTCCCCAAAGGTGCGCTCCGGAGTCCCCAAAGGAGCGCTCCGGAGTCCCCAAAGGGACGCCCCCGGAGTCCCCAAAGGAGCGCTCCGGAGTCCCCAAAGGCGCGCTCCGGAGTCCCCAACGGCGCGCTCCGGAGTCCCCAACGGCGCGCTCCGGAGTCCCCAAAGGGACGCCCCCGGAGTCCCCAAAGGCGCGCTCCGGAGTCCCCAAAGGAGCGCTCTGGAGTCCCCAAAGGCGCGCGCCGATATGGCCACACTATGGATTTCCCGTCTTTTTTCATAAAACAGCTTCAAATCACCAATTCATGGTTAAGCATGGCCCCCGACAGCATAAACTACGGATCGACATATCAAAGTTTGCGTGCTCTGC